TTAAATTTTTTTGAATAATTTAAGAGGAACTAATATAAGTTAGTTCTATAAAATAAGAAAAGATAGTGTATTTTTGCAATCCATTTTATGATACCCAAAGTCATCTTGATCCCAAAACTTAACAAGAACTTTATGAGAAAGGAAAACTACAGGCCAATACAAGAGGCCAAAATCCTAAAAAGAAAGTTAGCCACATGTAATTCATTAATTTAAAAAAGGATACTATAGGGGCCAGCAGGTGACGTAATGGTTATGGCTCTGGACTCCATAAGGCCAACTGCAGTTTGAGTCCCTGACCCAGTGACTTGAAAATCACACTGGACACATACATTGTGTGTGCATGCCCAAATCTCAAGAGGAGAATAGAGAAGGGACTGCAGTGTGGCCATGTCCTCAGGAGGTGATTTCTTGATTTTCCTCTCATTGTCTCTCTCCAGCAAGTGCATGTGCCCTATAGCAAAAACCTTAAAAAAAAAAAAAGGGTAATATACCCTAGAATTCTCTCAAAAACCTTCCCAGACTATTTTTCTAAGCACTGAGGCAATCATTGTTGAGATTTCTCTATTGATTTTTTTTTTCCATTCTAAAGCCACATTCAGTAAGGTCTTATAGTATTAGACATTTTTTATTCATGTAATGTATCTGACACTCATCCACTTAGTGTATATTACCAGTTTATTGCTTCTTCTTGCTAAATAGCATTTCCTCATATGAATATAGAGTTCTCTTGATGGATATAAATTTACCATTATTTTTAGCTCTAATGAATAAAAGTACTAAGATCAAACAAGTCTCTGAGAGGACATGTTCTTATTTATTTTGGGAAACTACTCAGAAGCAGAATTGCTGAATCATAGAGTAGGTGTATAATATTATAAGAAACAGACAAACTTTTCCCAAAGGGTTTCATTATTTTATGTTCCATTTTCTTCTCCATCTTCTACAGTGCCAATCTATGGTTAATAATGCTGAAAAAATATCTGGAGAAATGCAGCCAATTCCTAGAATTAGGGCATTTTGTCCTGCAGTAAATGTTCTCACAGGAAGGTTCTATCTGCCTGCAATTCCCTTACTCTCTAACATCCTTCCTTTACATTACTGTCATCACAAAGACCCAGTACAGCCTCCTGGGTGGCTGGCAGCATGGCACCCATGACATAAGTATCTCTGGGATGTGTCTACTTCACATAATGATTGTTGACAACTGGTATCTTTCATTTCTAGGATCTACATAAGGCTAACATCAACATACCCTGCAAAGAGATTCTGGGAATATTCCAAATATAATTTTTATAAAAGAGATTTGAATTAAATCACATTTTTTGGGAAATGATTTGATAACAGCCAATAATTTAATATAATTATTTTAAAAGGCATTGTACAAATGTAGAATTTTACATGTTAGAATATTAATTGCAGCATCATTATAACACTAAAAACTCAAAAAGAATGAAATGTTCATCCATAGGATCTCATTAAGTAAATCATTAGTATATTCATAAAGTGAATATTTATTAAGAAATCACTTAAAATGAGATTAATGTATAATTGGTAATATAGAAAGATTTAACACACATAGACATCCACCCAGGTTCACACCCACATATATACTATATTTTCATATGTATTAAGAAGATAGAAGACAGCGTGTTTACTAAAATATCATTTATCTTAAAAGAACACATAAAGATAGTCATGTATAACTGAAAAGATTCTGTACGAACATCTTAGAAACCTACGACAGTATTTATCTTTAGGAGATGGATGAAGACAATCAAGCAGAGGGGAAAGGTTACATTTACATTTGCCTCAAATACCTCCAAATGATTTAATATTTATCTAACTTTATGATAAATGACATTTTTAATGCAAAAGTAAAAACATTTTAAATGTAACTTTCTCATTCCACTCAGCATACAACAACCATCACACTCCTGGTACTTTTTTGTCACTTTGGAATATTAGTTTTTCATCCTTTACTCCTCAATTAAAGCAGTTCAGGGAGGTATTGCATAGACTTTTTATTTTTCCTTTTAGATTTTTGCCATAGATTGTGTGCATTAGCTAGAGAGAGACATATAGAAGGAAAGTGAGAAATCACCCCATGAGGGGATGGCCACACACAATCTTGTCTACATTTTCCTCTCAGCATTTTGGGCACGAAGGCACATATGCCCAACCTGATTTTCAAGCTGCTGAGTTCAGGACTTGAATCACGGTCGGGTCAGCCATGTGAAAGTTCAGCACCATGACCAGCACATCACCTGCTATTCCTGAATTTGAAAACTTTCATAAAGAAAACAGAAGGCTGACATAGCCACAGTTGAACTGCATGAGTGCTGGAGAGATTGGATGGGCTATGGCATTAGAGCATGAGGCTGGAGTAGACATCAGATTCTCTTCATTTCTCCCTTACTGGAGTACTATAACTACAGGTAGAAGGTAGCTGATAGCAGTACAGAGATCATCTGGGAAGAAGGGCTTCATGAAGTCTTGGAGAGGAAGAGAAAAATTTTGGCAACTCCTTTTGATGGCCTGTAGGTTTTTGATACTGTCTTGAAACCTCTAGTGGGGTCATCAGCTTGGGGGTAGCTAAGGCTCTGTGGGCTAAATGGAATCAGGGAGAGGCACAGAGCAGATCAGAGGGATAACTATGCACTTGTTTGCTGAGACCTTTGAGCCTGGTTGTAGGGCAACTTGTGTGCTGAGAAGTTCCTAAGATTTCAAGTTTGCCCAATAAAGAACTTTTTAGTGTTCTGAAACTTGATTAGTCTCAGGAGGGAAGTGTGGGGCATGAAAGTTTCCTTCAGCTTTTCTGTGATAATATCCCTAGTGTGTCTCTGAATTTGTACAGATTGTTCCTCAGTGAATAACTATCCTTGGAGACAGAATAACTATCCTAAGAGAAAGAGGAAAGCAGAGTGAGAGAGGGAGATAATCCCTCAGCAATAGTATTTCTGGACTTTTTTCTGAGCTTCTGTGTGTGGACAGTGCTCTGTTAGAGATAGAAGCTACCTCTATCTCCTGAACATAGCTCTGTTCTAGCCAGGCAAGAGGTAGAGAGTGGTTGAGCTTTCCAGTCCTGACCCCTTCTCTGGAGGTGAGTATCTTCCAAGAGTTCCTCTTGGTGAAGTAGTGAGTAGGAAAGTGTAATTATTTGAGAGTCTTGGTTTGGCTGCCTTCTAGAAAAAGAACACCTACAGCCCAAATAGTGGGTTTGGATAGCTGCAAAGAGGATGAGCTCAGTATCAAACTCTCCCTTCAGAGCAGAGGGCAGCATCCTCTCTCAGTCCAGAGTGGAGATAGGCACAACTCTCGGCCATGACTTAAGACCCTGATCTTTCACTTCTTCCTACATATTCCATACACCTGCTGGACTCATTGTTAGGATAACCAGGGAAAAGGACTTCCAGCAGAGTGGACAATGCTTTAGAGAAAAGTAGTCATGCTGGACAGTCTTCATTCATTCTTAGATTTTTTTTCATTAATCTAGTCATTTATATATTATTTTAAAACATTTATGGAGTATATACTTTGTTAGATTATGTTCTTAACACTTGAGATACAAAAAGATAAAGTAAAGAGGAAAGAAACAGGACCTATCCTCGATTTATTTACTTATATTTGGGATTTTTATGATAAACTAATAAACAAATGAAAGCACATTATTGTTTGAAATATTGGTTGGATCCAGCAGTAAGAAATATACAGCATAATGAATATTGGAGAGTGAAGAAGTGCATGTGGTGTTTTAGAGAGGATGCATGGAAGAGGGCCCCTGGAGAGAAGACATTTGAGCAGAGAGACCTGAACGGGATGGGGGAAGGAGCCCAGACAAGGGAGCTGAGCGTGACCTATTTTAGTGTCATTTGACATTGTTGTTTACTCCCCAGACTCTGGAAGGCATAGATGGTCTCAGAGGAACTAATCTATTTTATGGCATTTTCAAAGCTACTCTTTAGAACTGAGACCCTGCCAGGTTGGCTATAAGGATGAACTGCCCATTTAGAAGTCTTATCTCCTGGATGGGACAAGAGTATGGAGAACTGGTGAATGCAAGGGGCATGTCGCTTCTCAGTCATAGCTGTTTTCTTGTCTCTTACCCCAAGAAAGAGTCAACCAGGACAGATGTGAGTTTGTAATGAAAGCTCCAACTTTTTCACTCATTCTGGGTTCTTCTTCCCCTGTGTCATATGGTGACAAGAGGAATCAAAATCTCAGAGCTAGAGTTTACTAACTGAGAGCTGGTCAGACTCTACCTTCTTGAAGGAAACACACTGACATGAGAGGTGGAGATGGCTTTCATCATAAAAATAAAGAAAAAGTAGGTAATCTCATCAATGGAACTATATCCCTGAA